AATGTTTTGCATACAGCAGGTGCTTGGTGGTTGGTGGTGCTAGTTTTGCCTTCTGGAGCAATCATGAACATATCTAGTCTTTTGAATATGATATTAGGTCTCTTTTTCCTCATCTGTAAAATGAGGTTTAAATGATCTTTAAGGTCTATTTCATCTTTTAAGTTCCATTATTTGATAATGGGCTCCTAGGTGGCACAGTGGATAGAGTACCGGGCCTGAAGTCAGGAAGCCTCATCATCCTTCTGAGTTCAAATCTGGCCTCAAACACTAGCTGTGTGACCCTGGACAAGACACTTAACCCTGGTTGCCTTGGTTTCCTCGTCTGTAAAACAAGCTGGAGAAGGAAATGGCAAGCCACTCTAGTATCTTTGCCAAGAAAAACCCAAATGGGGTCACAGAGTCGGACATGACTGAACAATGACAAGGTCCTTTTCAACTCTAACATGTTCAACTCTACTATGTTTCTATGAATTTAACCTAGAGAAGAAATAACTAAAGGTTATTTGATATGAGAGCTGATTTAAATATTTGAAGTGTTATCAGAATTTGTTGTTGAGTTATTTCAGTCGTGTCTTATTCTTCGTGAGTCCATTTGGGGTTTTCTTGGCAAAGACACTGGAGTGGTTGGCCATTTCCTTCTTCAGCTCATTTTATAGATGAGGAAACTGAGGCAAACAGGGTTAAGTGACTTGCCTGGGGTCACACAGCTAATGTCTGAGGCCAGATTTGAAGTCAGGATGATGAGTCTTGACTCCAGGCCTGGTGCTCTATCCACTGCACCATCTGGCTGCCCCTGAAAGGGACCTTTGAAATCATCTAATTCAAATGCTAAATTTTTCAGGTGAGGAAATTAAGTCTCAGAAGAGACAGACAACTTGCCTAAGGTCACATAACTAGTGACAGAATTGTTCCTCATAAGAATGACAGTTTCTGGACCTCCTTTCAATTGCCTTTCCTGATGTATTCCAATTTGTCAATGTCTCTCTTAAAATATGGCACCCTGAACCAAATACAATACTCTAGGTGTGGTCTGACCACAGACCAGAGCGAGTAGGACTGTTACTAACATAAATTTGAATACTTTACCTCAATATATTCTAAGATTGTTAGCTTTTTAAGAAAATATGCCACAATATTGGCCCACATTAAGTTTTTGGTTGATTACCCTTCCCATATTTATTTATCAATGTTATTATAGATATTATATAATTATATAGTGCCTTATAATTTTTCATAGTATTTTCTTGTACTCTTATGGGAGACGTAGTACAAATACTATTTTCCCCTTTGTATATATTAGGAAGCTGAGTCTCAGAGAAAATTAAATGATTTCCCCAAGTTCATATGGTGTTAAGGTAGTAGAACAAGGACTAAAATCCAGATTGTCTGATTCTAAGTGTAGCACTCTTTTCTTCTATATCTGAAGGTCTTTCACGTGAATTGCTATTGAGTTTGGTTTCACCCATCTTGTATTCTCAGCATGCTGGTTTGGGTCCCATGTTCCAGCCTTAAATCCTGAGATGTTGTCAAGATAAATGGATTGAAATTGTCTCCCACCACTATTATTTTCAGGATCCTATTTTGGTGATCCTAAGTAACAAACCATTCTGCAGCAAAAAATCAAAAAAGCATTGTTTAAGACAATTTAGTCTTCAGAAGGAAAAATTTTACCAATTAGAAACCCTAATGAGAGACAGGAGGAATGGTATCAGAAAATAATGAGAAATCCTAAAATTATCTCTATGCAGGTTCTGTAACATGGTCATACATCTGTCTTCCCACACCCATCTGACCAGGGCCCCACTTCCATCTTGGCCCTACTGCTGTCAATCCAGAGTCAGACTGGGTGAAAGAGAAAAGAAGGGATGAGTTCCTGAAAATGATCCTCAAAAATCAATCATCAAGAGAGGCCACAGGCCATAGGGTCAGATAAGAGACTAAAGAAATGGAACCGACAGCTTAATTCTTCCCTTTGTGACTGAAAAGAGAGGAAAATGTCACAAGGTCTAAAAAATGTTAACACATTTTTGACTGTCTCTGCTCTCCCTGATTTTTGCAAGCCAAATGGCCATTATAAAATGCTGGTGGCTAACAGGGGCATCAGTTAACTGTACACTGATTAACAGAACCTGACTACCTTTCTATCTCCTCCTGGAGTGTGGAGTAATCATGGAGAGTAGCCCATGAGTATCTCTGGTTCTTCTCTTTCTGCTCCTTAGCCTGACCCTCCTTTTGCTTGGGGCTTTGAACCAATGATGTGGCAGAGTAGTGCTGGTCTGTCTGTCCTGTATGGAAATGCCCTTCCCTATATAAATACACACGAGATCTGTATTCATGATACCCTAATCCTACTGAGTCATGGGGAAAGTAGAGGCTGATCTTATTTCTCAGATACTGTTGAATTATACTGATAATACTGAGCTGCTGATATTCTAATTAACAGATACTGTTAATATGTGCATGTTTTCATCTTCAGAGAGATATACTAAGCAACTAGGCCTTTTCTTCCGCAGTTGCTAAAGCTCTCTCTTCATTTAAAGACCATCTTAGATGATGAGTCAGTTCTGCCGAACTAGACTCAGAATTAATTGCTGTTTTATAGTAATGTTTATTTATATTGGTAATGCTAGTTCCTAAAAAAAACAAGAGATAGCTTCTGGCACATTGGGTGGTTCCTGTACAGAAAATCTGTATAGAAAATCTATGGGAAAACAGGGGCAAGAATCACAAAGATCAAGCAGATACAGAGGTATTTCAGTCTGTGGCAGTAGACAGAATGACTACGTCAATGAAATCAGGGGCCTTTAAAGTATCAGAGTAATCTATCCATCCTCCATTCAGCTGTCAAAGTGATTTTCCTAAAGGGTAGGTCAGACCATGTCATTTCCTCTCTCCCCCTGAATAAACTGCAGTGGCTCCTTATCACCTCCAGGATCAAATAGAAAACATAATCTGCCCTCTTGCCTTTGAGTCTTTTTACACCTCACTCTTTCTGCCCCATGTACTCTTTGATCTAATGATATTGGCCTCATTGTTCCTCAAACAAGACATTCCGTTTCCTGATTCTGGGCTTTTTCTCCGGCCATCCCCCACACCTGGGATGCTCTCCCTCTTCATCTCTACCTCCTGGCTTCCCTGGCATCCTTCAAGTCCCAGTTAAAATCCCACCTTCTACTGGAAACCTTTCTCAGTCCCTCTTAATTCTAATGCCTTCCCTCTGTTGATTATTTCCAATTTGTCTTGGATATAGCTTTTTTGCATATAGTTGTTTGCATGTTGTCTCTTCCATTAGCCTGTGAGCTCCTTGAGAACAGGGACTGTCTTTTGCCTTTCTTTGTATCTCCAGTGAGTAGCAAATGCTTGGTACATAGTAATCACTTAATAAATGCTTATTGATCTATAGATTGGCTGAAAACATGAAGTATCATAGAGGCATTAGAAATACTGTTTACTGCTCACATTTCAGCTTTTTTGCTCTGGTTCCTAAAGTATATCTCTTTTTGTTTGGATTAGTTCTCCATGGTGGAACACAACCGGGGAGGAATACTGATAAACAATCACTTGTCTGCAAGGATAGACATATTAAAAAATCAAAGGATTGCCTTGTGAGCTGAATAAAGTCAACTGTCTGCTTTCCTCTGTCTCCTTGGTGCTGTACTAGAAACCAGACCCTTCATATATTATTGATTTAGACTACATTTCGTTTCAGATTCAATGGAGTAGTACATTGGAAGTGTCTAGTTGTTTCATTAAGTTATAGAAAAGAGGAATATCCCTGTAAGGACACAGGTACTATTCAGTCATCGTCAAAAGATTCCACACAAAAAACTATATCTGGATGGGTGTCTATTGAACTAAAAAATGTAATCATACTCATTTTAAATTCCTTAAGGAGAATGTATTTTTCATGAATTCTTTCTCTTTGGTCTTTCTAATCCTAGCAATCCAATGCAAAATTAAAGTCTTTATCATTTATTCATACATACTCAGTTATCCAGAAGCCATCTAGCGAAAATAAAATGTTGTAGTGCAAAATCGCCTCTTCCTATACTGGAACATAATTTTGTTTCGCTGGAACATAAAAGCTATTTCAAAATACTTAAGGTCTTCTCTTAACAACCTGCCATCTGTGTTGCCATGCTATTAATGAATTCTATGCCTTGATGATATAATTGATGATGCTAGTGCTCACTTCCAAACCAGATCACACCAGTCTGTCTCCAGAGGATATTATAATTGGAAGAAGGCATAGTGCCCTGAGAATGAGCTGCTTCTGCTTAAATCATAATTTTTAAGCCTTGGATAGTAGAATAGTTGTCACTTCGGAGGCACTAATGAGAAAACAGAAGTTTTCTTACAAAACAAAAGAATCCATTTATTCAATCTACCTGAAAATTAAAAAAAAGCCCAAACTCAGTCTCCCTTGACAGATTCCTTTCAGAACTTAAAAGAAAAAAAAAAAAGATTGGGGGAGGGGAGAAATAATGAGTAAAACACTTCTAGCTCACTTTTAAAGACTAAAGTAACTTTTCCTTTTATGTAGTTACCCCTAGAAGAACCAGACCCCTCACTCTTGGGGCCTTTCCCAGGACAGAAAGCCACACTTGGTTTCATCTGTCTCCATATTTTCCACTGAACAAAATCCCCACATTTAAATAACACTGCATCTCACAGCTAAGATCAGATTAAAAACTGTTAATTATTTGTTTAAAAAATTATAACCTCACCATCAAACAGCACTACCTCTATGTTTTCTGGAAACACTTAATTTTTCCAGAATTGCATAAGCACTCAGGTAAACAGACTGCAAAGCCAAACACACTAAGGTGTCAACAGGGACCCACAGTACCTGTTCCTAAAACCACTGATGGAGAGCCTTAAACCGGGAGTCCAGTCTGTCACCTCCAAGTGGGAACGTGTTGCTGAGTTTTATGCTGGTGTAGAAATAACTGTGCCAAAGAAATGTGGGACAAGGATGATGGAAGAAACACTTTCCATACCTGTCGTTCAGTTTCAGAGCAAATGGCTGCTCTTTTCCATCCTTTCTGTGCAGGGTTAAGCAGGTCAATGGAGTCAGGTTACTTTTCATTTGTTACCCTAGCAGCCAATTGGTTATCCCTCTGGAAAACCTAAGAAAGCATGAATAAAACATGCAAGACTGTAAGGGTTGCTATTACAGGACAGCCAGTGACACCAAACTGTACATCATTTCCACTTTTTATGAATGTTCACCCGTTGTTCTACATAGGGCCTGCTGCTAATGGTTATAGAGGTGCCCAGATTTTCTCCATCAGTGTTTTCAAACACCAAAATATTTTATGTTGTTTAGTCTGAAAAGTAGGGGTTCTATCCCCCACTTTGACGTAAGGCTTCTTTCATTTTAAAATATACATTTACCTGTTTTCAAAACAAAACCTAAACAGTTTCTGCAGGTGCACAGGATTTGGAAATAGAAAACCTCGACTCAGACCTCACTTCACCAACACTGCACTCACAATAAAACCTTGGACAAATCACTTCACTTATCAGGACCTTGTTTTCCTCACCTGGAAAATAAGCGCATCGGACCAGATAATCTCGAAGGGCCCTTGGAGCCTTAGATTCTATGATCCAAATGGAAGCCTAAACACTGTATCATGAGAGATTATCCTGCCACGCCTGAATGATGTCCTCTGTCGATGTGGTCTGGCTGCAGAGGCAGCAGAGGGTCCATACAGTTGCAAACCAGGGTGCCAAAGCCACCAGGAGGCACCAGGTTGGTTTTTTCTCCTCTGTTTGTAAGAAGATAACAGAAGCAGAAGACACTGTTTCCAGCAGATAGGATCATACATTTGGAGCTGGTAGAGATCTTGTGGGTAATCTAATTCAACCCCTTAATTACCAAACTGAGGATCAAAGAGTTTAAGTGATTAGCCCCAGGTCATACACAAATAGGAAGTAGAGCCAGGAGAGCTCTGATTCCCAGGTCTTCTGATTCCATGTCTACCTCTCTCCACTACAAACAGATGAGTGTATGTATTTCTGTTCAGTAAATTTAGTAAATAGTAAATCTATGTGTAAATCAATCCTATTTTTAAAATACACAAAGGGAGCTGGTTATTTGAAGGATTCTACAATGAATCCTTCACCCCCCCCTTCTTTTTTCTTTTTCTTCTGCAATAAATCCAATAAAGCAAATTGTTGTTGTTGTTGAATAATGTCCAACTTTGCGTGACCCCATGGAACATAGCTGGCCAATACTGTCTATGGGGTTTTCTTGGCCAAGATACTGAAGCTATTTGCCATTTCCCTCTCCGGCTCATTTTACAGATGAGGAAACTGAGGCAAACAGGGTAAGTCCAGGGTCACACAACTAGTAAGTGTCTGAGGCCACATTTGAACTCAGGTCTTCCTGACTCCAGGCCCAGCACTCTGTCCACTGAGCCACCTAGCTACTTCACAAAGCAAATAGCCATTCCATAATTTGTCTGCTTTGGAAATTCAGGATTATACTTAACTACTTGTTTCCAAGCCTCAGGATAGGGTCTTCATTCTTTCAGAGAAGAGGTCAATTAAGATCTGTTTCTAAATTCCTAAATTCTGCTTTAAGATAAAGCCATTGCTTTGGGTACCAATGAGCTCATTCGGCTGTTACTGTCATAGTATTGCTAAAATCAGTTGTATATTAAAATCATTATGAAAAGTATCTCATGCTCTTTTGGGGCATTGAGCTACGGTGCATTACAAAGGCAGGGGAAAATGCAACTTCTGTTCTGAGGACTTTACAATTTAAACAGGATGCGAAATTGATACATTTACTCCAATACACAAATGGTTCTAAGATCTCATTGATGTAGGAATTCTCTCCAATGATGCAGATTATAAGCCATTCATGACTACCGACTTGTGTAACTATTAAACCCACCCAATGTACAAGAGGTGATGGTCTGTTTTATTTCTCTTAGCACCATGTGGACACCAACAACATACAAAGACTATCCATTCCTTGCATGTGGCCAGCCCGATCTTTTTTTAAAAAAAAATTAACTTATTTTTAGTTTTTAACACTCACTTCCATAAGCTTTTGAGTTTTAACTCCCCCCTCCCCCCTCCCCAAGATGGCATGTGATCTATTATAGACTCTACATATACATTCATATTAAACATATTTTCATATTAGTCATGACATAAAGAAGAATTAGAACTAATGGGAGGAATCATGAGAATGAAGAAACAAAACAAAACAACAAAAGGAGAGCGAATAGTATGCTTCAATCTACATTCCAGACTCCATAGTTCTTTCTCTGGATGTGGACAGCATTTTCCATCATGAGTCTTTTGGAGTTGTCTTAGATCCTTGCATTGCTGAGAAGAGCCAAGTCTATGAAAGTTAGTCATTGCACAATGGGGCTGTTACTGTGTACAGTGTTCTCCTGGTTCATACAAGTCTTTCCAGGTTCTTCTGAAGTCTGCCTGCTCATCATTTCTTATAGCACAATAGTATTCCATTATATTCATATACCACAACTTGTTCAGCCATTCCCCAATTGATGAGCATCCTCTCAATTTCCAATTCTTGGCCACCACAAAAAGAGCTGCTATAAATATGTTTATACATGTAGATCCTTTCCCCATTTGTATGATCTCTTTGGAATGTAGACCTAGAAGTCCTATTGCTGGGTTAAAGGGTATGCATAGTTTTTTGCAGCCCCTTCATCGCAGTTCCAAATTGCTCTCCAGAATGGTTGGATCAGTTCACAACTCCACCAACAATGCATTAGTAATCCAATTTTCCCACATGTTCTTCAACATTTGTCATTGCCCTGTTTTGTCATGTTAGTCAATCTGATAGTTGTGATGTGTCACCTCAGAGTTGTTTTGATTTGCATTTCTCTAATCAATATTGATTTAGAGAATTTTTTATGACTATGGTTTTAATTTCTTTATCTGAAAATTGCCTGTTCATATCCTCTGACCATTTATCAATTGCAGCCCAATCCTTTTTTCATCGATACATTTCTTTGGTGATATATCCATAATTTTTTGTAATTTGTTGGAGCCCACTGGTGTCCACTGCGGCCTTTAGGGTTATTCTCAATTTTGGTTCATTGGAAACTGTGTTGTTCTACGACTCACAGCCATATGACAGCACTTGAAGAATGTTGGTATTAAGATGACAGATTTTTGTGTCAAGAAAGCTTATGGACATTTCCATAACTTTGCTGTTCACCAAAGGCAATGTAGCTCATTTTCCTGTTCAATTCTGAACCCAACTTACATCTATTTGCAATATCTGTGCAAGATATATATTGGTGGATGAGTTGTATGGATGTCCATCCAACTTTATATCATAGCCTCTGTGATAGTCATCCTTTATCCACTGGGTTTTTCCTGAATAAAGAGTTAGGCCAAATACTTTAGAATGATTATGATTATCCATTTAGGAGGCTCTGCAATGTTCCAGTGCTTAATGCAACCTCAACACAAGCTAGTCCATAAATAAGAGGATCTGGAGAAGCTCTTCGTCCATCTATAGGTAACCCCTCCTTAACTTGGACTCTGTGTTGGATTTCATCCCTGAAAGTGATTTAAAAAAACCTTTGGCAATCTTTAAAAAAATGCTTCCATTGATATTAATGAACAGAGTGTCACTGCACATGGTTAACTCTGTTGCTATGTTTTTCCAGGTACTTTGTATAATTTTGACATATCCATGAAAGACAACTTTTTGGAGGAAAACTATTAAGATAGTGTTTTGTTCTCCTGAATCAAATGCATTTTTTAAAATAAACAAAAAATAAATACAGTATATTTTTGCATTCTTTTCATTTTAAGTCAAATGTGTGATGTATAGCTATATTATACTGTGGAATGTCACTTGTGAAAGCCTGCTTGTTCCTATGGAACATTTTCACCAAGGATGCCCTTAATGTGTGTGTAAATCATTCTCAAAAAATTTATAAATATGCATAAAGACGTAAATGATTTAGAACTCTGTGCAGATATTCTTATATGTTACAGTGAAACACACAGTTGCCATGCTGGAAGAAGATGTGATCATAACAGAATTATTAGTATCATTATAGATTGCTGGCCTTGAAGTCAGGAAGACCTGAGTTCAGATCCTGCCTCAGACACTTACCTACTTATGTGACCTTGAGGCAGATCACTTAACCTCTGAATCTCTACTTACTTATCCAAAAAATGGTAATAATAGTACCTACCTCACAAGGTTGTTTTGGGGATCAAATGAAAGTATATATGTAAAGCACTATATTAATGCTAGCTATTGTTATACTTTCTATTTAATTAAGGAAAGTTTCCTAGAAAAGGTATTTTTAAAGTAAATTCCTAGAAGAAAATGCGCATGACAGTTATTATTATTATTATTATGGTTAAGTGCCTATCTGCCTCAGCTTAGAAGTCTGCTCACAATGTAGCATCTGTCATCACCCCTCTCTGTCCACCATCTGCACTGACCCAGCAAACCAGAAGGGCAAATTTAGCTGTTTCAGAATGTCATTGTACTAACAGGAAGCCAACAAGCCACTGGCAAGTCAGATAACAGAAACATTTTTTTGAATCTAGTCAACTTTGCATTCTGGGATTCCTTTAATAAGGTTGACTTATAGATGCCTTTCATTTTAACTGTGAATAATCTTTCTTCTAATGAAAAACTCTACATAATCAGACTTATATTTGAATGTTAAACCTTCCATCTCCTCTAGAACCTTGAGTAAGGAGTGGGGGGTGGGGAGAACTGGCCAATAAAGGCTCAGTCCTTCGAACATGCTAACTATGCTTTGCTTGGCATTAACCTCCATGGATGAAGGCTTGGTAAACTTATTTCTGGACAGATATATGGTTGGAGAGGCCCTTTCCTCACTTCAGAACATAAGCAGGTATCCTGACTATTTTTCCTGTCTGCTTACTGGGTGGTGATTAAATATTTTAATTATTTGAAGGACTTGCATCAATTACATCTATTGACACAATAATTTTTTTATAATTTTACCATAATTTCCCCCATCTGTGCATAGGTACTTTAAATACAAATAATTACAAGCAGATTTAAAAATTTTACTTTGAAATAAAAGTTTTCACTTTACTATCTCTAGTATATGCAAATTCACCAATTGGAACAGGTTGG